TGTGTGTGTGTGTGTGTGTGTGTGTGTTACACATGCTGACCTGCAGAATAACAACAGCAGGCTTATGTTAATTATGGAGGACGATATTAGTATAGTTAAAAAGTGTATTAGCATAGTTATCAGACAGTGAGTTAGCTGAAGCTAACGGCTGAAACTCTTCAGCTCTGATTCATCTTTAAATCTTATTTCACTCACAAACAATTTCCCCCAAAAATGTAAAATCGTTAAAGAAACTCCTCAGATATGAATTTATAAAACTGAATGAATGTTTTCGTGCTTTTAGAAACTTGATGCTTCCATTCTGAGAATTGTATTAACTTCCTGACCGTGTCCTTTATCGATCATTTGATCAAATGTTATCATTAAAAGAAAAATACATTTGTAAACAAACTAATAAAAAGAAATGAATTTAGACTGACGGATGCCTGTATCCAAGGCAACCGGCTCAACCTTAACATCAGCAAACTAAGAAGTCACCCAGACACACACACACACACACACTCGGCCTGCAGCCCGTCATCACCATCTGCTGCAGCTCTGCGACCCACAGAAAAGATTTTGTGAGGAGGAGGAGGAGGAGGAGGAGGAGGAGGCTTTTACGCTGAAAGGACACTTGAGAAGCAGCATGTGGCTGCAGTGACCGAGCTCTTTATGAGCCGGGTTGAGGCCGAGGGCAGCCATTGTGCTCGAGGGTGACAGAGTTCAGACTGACAGGATAATATAAAAAGTATTTTTTGATAGTAATACTTTTCCGTTTGTGAGTATTTAAAGTCTGTGGAGGTTTCCTCAGGTGTGTTTCTGAACTTTGGACCGAGTTGCACACGGTGGACAGTTTTGAATACAAGCAGAGTGACCAGCTCTAGATTTACCCACATTTCTATGACGTGTCACTTGTCACCACCATCTTTTGTCTGAGTTTTGTGATCTGCCCCCTACTGGAATCCTGCAGTAACACTCATAGAATCTACGCAAGTACGTGAACAAAAAAACGCTCACAGTTCATCCGGTTGACTTTGTGTACGTGTGGTCGAACAGCAGGTTAAATGACGAGCCTTAAGCTAGCTGTTTCCCTCTGTTTCCAGTCTTTATGCTAAGCTAAGCTACAGTATAGCTCTTTACTCTTGTCGATGGTTGAGAACAGAGGGGGTCGCAGCTTGAGGCCGAGTGTGATTTGTGAATATGAGCAATACAAATAAAGTTGGATTGACTGACTCCAGCTAACAGCGGAACATGAGAGAGACTTGATGCTTGTGATGCAAGAGGTTTCAGCTCCTGTCGTGTTTCTGAGCGCTGCAGGGGGATGTTGTCAGGACTTACTGGTGAATGGATGAATGACAGCAGGCTTGTGCCGGGCAGAGGCCGACCTCCTCCTACTCCTCCTCCTCCTCCTCTCTCCACCTCCCTTTCTCCTCGTCATTAAATTGCACAGCAGATGGAGCGAGTGCAGGGAAGGTTGCCGTGGAGATTTAAAGGGATGATTACGTTTCAGCTGGTTCTACCTTTCTTTCTTCTTTCTTTCTTTCTTCTCTGACACGAAGGGTTAAAGTAGAACAGACCAAACAGACTGAATCAGTGACTCTGCTCGTTCTGTAGTCTGTGTGTGCTTCACTTCTCATTCTGGAAAAATGTTGCAATCGACATGTAAGCATCATATCAAACTACAAAGAAGTTGGAAAAGTGTGTGTTTGTGTGTGTGTTTGTGTGTGTGTGTGTGTGTGTGTGTGTGTGTGTGTGTGTGTGTGTGTGTGTGTGTGTGTGTGCGTCATGGGGGGCTGCAGCAGCTGCTGGCTCCACAATAGATGGCAGTGACGTGCGACACACAGTCACTATAGAGTTTGATTCCACACACAAAAGCCTCTTAAAGCCTCTGAATCACTCGGCGTGTGCCAGGAGCAAGAGATCAACTTATTTACTCTGCAGCTTCAGTTTGCTCGACGCTTCTTGACTTTTTTACGAGCTGATCTGGTTCATGAAGATTAAACTTAATTCTGATAACTCTTCACGTCTGAATCACCATCACATACAAGTCTTGGAAAAACCCAAAAACTTCCTGTGCATCTGAACTGAAATGCTGCAGGTTTTACGCCTCTGTGCAGTTATTTAGGAATCCATATGTTTGCTTTGCTGCATTAGCATGATGCTACAGTGCATGATGCACACAACTGCATGTATTTGAACGTCTAAATATTTCCCAGACACCCTGCACTTTGCTTTAGTTTTTGCAGGAGCCCCTCTGAATGAATGAGAAAACAGTCGGCGGGGACGTAACCTTGTGATTATTTAAAGAAGTAGTGTTTTAAAGGGAAATTATTTTTCTTTCTGAAAGTTAAAATGCTGCTGCTCATGCATGTTCGGTAAACATGCAGCCCCAGCCTGCAAGTGGTCGGCTGCGTTGAATAACACAGATAAATGAAAGTGTCATGGTAGCTGCTGGAGCTTTACTTCATTTCTTACAGTGAGTCCAATGAGTCCAGTCGCAATCTTCTCATCTAACTCTTGGCAAGAAAGTTAAGAAAGTATTTCCCCAAAATGTTTGACTGTTCCTGAGGTTTTATGATGAATTCATGCAGGAAGGTTCATATTAAAGACTAAGTGAGGCGGAGAATGAATCTCTGTCACAACGTTCCTGATGTCATGAAGCAAAATATGTTGTTAAAGATGTAAAGATGAGTGAGTTCAGGCAACAGATCGCCGTGGTCAGGTCGCCTCCATGTCGCAGGACCAGGAGACAAAGAAGCTCATATCATTACAATCCAGTTTCTTTTCATTCAGGTGTTACTAACTGAGATTTTTGTGCCGGGGAACTTGATTGGTTTTGTTTCAGTGTCGCTTTAATGCTTCAGGAGAAAATACCTTAAAATCACAAACCTGAGCTGAAAACATGTGAACGTGTTCTCAGGCAGGAAACGAAAGAGAAAGAGCTCAGAAAGTCAAACAGTCAAAACAGAAGCAGGTTCGTCAAAGAAAAAATACATTTGGGACTTTCAGCTGAGAAAAGGTCAAAAAACAGTGGAAGAGCAAAACTTGGTTCAAAATATTTTATTTTTAGGTTTTCATCAGACAAAAGTTTCAGTTATTCAGTGAACAAGTTATTTAATTTGACAAAGTGAAAACAACCGAGCTGAAGGGAAACCTTATGAAACTTTATCTTTAGTTTTAACTTTCAGTTTTCAAGATTCGAGCTCAAATTCACACAACTTTTTATTTTAACACTTTAATTTTTTGTTATTGTTAATTTTCCAAAGTGAAACCTTTAGAGAAAAGACACGTTCTTCTTATTTTTTATGTTTATCTTTTTTAAATCATTTCTAAAGTGAAACCTTTAGAGGCTTTTTTTTCAAGACCTTTTTAAGAATTTTTTTTTTTTGTCATATTTAAATTTCTAAAGTGAAACCTTTAGAGAATTAAGACAATTCTGGAAAGTGGGAAATATTTGCGCTGATTGCAACTGTTGTCTTGTTGCTCAGCGAAGAGGACACTTTTAAAAAGTCTCTTTTTAACAAGGCCTCTTCCTCCGCACCGCTTCTTCTCCTGCTGCGCGTGCGCGTCAACGTGCGACATTTGCTCTGTGGAACCACAGGACGCAGAACTCGCTTCTCCTTCCTCTCCAAACCTCATCCGCACAAAGAATGAGGGTCGACGTGTCGCTCTTGTGGCATGCCCGACCTCGTTCACATAAAGAATGAGAGTCATCTTGGCATGGACGGGACAAGAGGCGACGGTTCACGGGGGCCCCTCCTCGGGGCCGGCGCCGTGCTGCCTGGACGGGAATCCTCCTCAGGAGTATCCAGGGATGAGCAGAAACATGTTCATCCTGATCACCAGGATGAGTATTTCCAGATAAGAAGCTTCACAGCATCTGAGCAAGAGAGGAGCCGGAGCCCCCGATCAGCGGCCGGGGAGGCTGACCTCAGGGACCCAGTCGTTCAGACGGCGGCTCTCCTCACAGAACAGATGCAGCTTCTCCAGAGCAGGGTCCTCCCAAGAGCCGTCAGCTGGGTTCTGTTCAAGCAGGAGGAAGAAGAGGAGTTAGTCTCACATGTCTCACAAACACACACGTGTGGAGAAGTGGAATAAAGGAGGTGGCTGGTGTGGACTGAGGCCTGGRTACATACCGTGATGAGGACGCAGTGAGCGTCTTCCAGCTGCTCCGCCTTGTCACCAACGATCTCAGCCAGACGCTGCATGTCGCTCACTCTGACGATGCTGATGTCGTTGTCGAAGCAGAAGGACTGGATGAGGGTGAAGTGGATCTGCAGAGCGATGTCACACTCGAACTCCTCGTCCGTGGCCAGGACGCAGAAAGACACGCTGTCAGGGTCACTGTGGACAAAGAGAAGACACTTCCTGTTAGCTCTCAGATCCCGATCAAGTATAGAGTCATGTTATAAAGTCCTATTTAAGTCACGTCTACTCACTCAGTCATGATTTTAGCGCTCTCGTAGACTCCGGCAGTGAGTCGGTCCTCGCTCTGAGCACAGAGCAGAGCTTCCTTCAGAGATTTTCCAGGAGACTCCATGTTGATAGGTTTGGGGTTAGGTATCTCACAGTTCAGCTGAGGTGGTCAGATGTTCAGAGAAGAGTGTTTGTGCTGCTTCCTGGAGTCTGCCAACATTTATACTGCCGACCCGGCACACGCTCACTCCCCGATTGGCTGTTGGGGGCACAATGGCCTCAACAGGCCTGCAGTCGCCTCCCCACCCTCAGGGACGCGTGCCTATAGAAAGTCTTAGAAAGTCGGGGGCAGCTTCGGTTGAAAGGATCAGATGTAGAAACTCTCTGACCTTTAAATGATTCTTGGAGCGTACAGGAATAATGAAACCACACAGGAGGAGCAGGCTGCCGTCGTCAAAGTGCTCCAAGATCTGGATGAATTAGAAGTTAATACTGACTCCCATTCAAACTGATGCAGAGAGTTTTCAAGTTACAGAAGCTGTTCTACATTAATATATATCTATATCTATGACTAAAGGCTGAAGTAACAGCTTATTATTACCACGTTTTACACAGAATTCATTTAATGTCGACCCTGTGAGTTCTGAAGCAAAGCATCAGTTCTTTATTATTTTAAACATTTTAAAGTGAGCTTCATGGTTTAGTTCCTGGTCCTTCACCATTCAGGAACTTATTGTTTCCAGTAGTTTCCATAGGGAATGAAAATCTATGAATAGACTCTGGTGGACTTCTGTTGTTCTTTACTGTGAACGTCAAATCTGCATTACATTTGTTCCATCATCCAGTTACAAGTAATTTAGAAGAAACAGCTTTTAAACAGGTTTGATGAGTCTGATCTCTCAACCTGCAGAAATGTAAACTGATGTGAAAGTTCTACGTTTGGTTTTTGTTGTTGTTAAGTTTCATCGTCAGATTTTAAAACTTTAAATTGACCCGTTACCAGTTCAACCACGCCTTCTGTTGTTTTGTCCATCCCAGTCAGAAGTCTTGGTTAAAAAATACAGACTTGATTTGTACAAAAGCAAATCACATTCACCTGAAAAAAAAAAATCCTGTTTTTGTGACAATTTTTTTTAATTCTGTTTTTCTGACAATTTTTTTTACTGGTTTTTGGACAAAAAATTTTCTGTTTTTCGGATAAATTTTTTTCTTTTTTTTGGACAAATTTTTTTTTCTGTTTTTCTGACAAATCCCCCCCCCCCTGTTTTTCTGACTAATTTTTGTTCTCTGTTTTTCGGACAATTTCTTTTTTTCTCTGTTTTCGGAGTAATTTTTTTCTATTTTTTGGAAAAAAAATTTTTTCTGGTTTTTGGACAATTTTTTTTTCTGGTTTTCTGACTAATCCCCCCCTGTTTTTTGGAGTAATTTGTTTCTGATTTTCGGATAAAATGTTTTTCTGGGTTTTTTTTCGGTTTTTCGGACTAATTCATAGTATTTGAAACCGAAATATTATTTTATTTATTTATTCATAAACATTCTAAAAAAACTCTGATGACTTCTGCAGAGCTGAGCAAGAAGAGACATCCAATAAAAACTGTATGAGGACATTTGTAAAATACACTAACTTACTATTCTAATAGTCTCTATTGATAATTATGTTGTGGTTGCCCCCCCCCCTCCAGTTGTCCTGGATGTCACTTGGACTTTTTATTTGACTCGTGACCAACTTCACTGTCTGAACTGTTTCTTGTAGATTGCGCTGTGGCACGCGCCGCTGATTTGCATGCGTAAAGCCGGACCTCACTCGAGGCGCGTGGCATCTGGAGATGGCTGCGCGCTTTATCTTCCCGTCTGCATCTTTCTCTATGGCAACCGAGAGATAGCATCTGTCCCCGGGGAGAAGGTGAGGGGAGGCCGGACAAAGGACTTCAGGCAGGCCGGGCAGCACCTGCTGGGTGCGATGACCGCACCTTTCCATTCCGCTGCTCATTGGATTTATGAGTTTTAGACTGAACTTCAGCCAGAACACATTTAGCTTTATAGAGTTGTTCAGCTTCAACAAAACTTTTCTATATCTCCATCCTCGACTTTCTTCTCCCAGCCTCGTTAGAAGACACATTCAAACGTGTTTATTTAGGATTTAAAGAGTTTTTTGCAGCTTTGCATCTCAGAAAACTTATTTATTGAAAGAAAAAATAAATCCTATTTTCTCCTAAACCCATCAGAAGCAATTATCCAAACTTTAAATCTTCAGACACTTCCATCCTCAGAGAAAAGTCCGAGCTTCGCCGCAGGTCAACACAAAACAGCTTTTACCACCAACACCTGTCGCGCGCTGCCTCCGTCTGGCAGATGTGCTTCAGCAACAATGGGTCTGTATCGATTTGCACGCGCCTGCCCTGTAGCCGTGCAAGCTGATCCTTCCTAAAATAGCCCAGAGTGAGTCTCCATCAGCTGGATCCAGATCACACTCTGTCCCTCCTCCTCCTCCTCCTCCTCCTTCAGTCCAGCTGATGAGTTTTACTGCAAGACACAAACAACTGATTCTGTTGCTGCAACAACGAGCAGATAAGAAAAATAAAAACACACACTTTGTGTTTTCATACACGTGTTTACAGCTCAAACTGAAAGTGATCTGTGAATCTGCCGTCACGAGTCTGGAGATAAGAAAGTTTGGAGCATAATTTCTCCTCTTTGCCATTTAAATTTAATCAAAACTCAGACAACAGACTGGCGGATGTGGAGACCTGCGGACAAAAGAGCGGCGCGCCCTGGGGTCGGGGTTGACCTGGGTTTAGGAGAGAAAGGAGTGGGGGGGCTAGGGGTTGAGGTCCCTCCCCTCATAGCGACAGTTCTCCATCTGCCGCTCTGCCTTCCATGGAACAATAGCGCTGAATCAATCACCGCCAACCTGTGTCTCCTGCACGCCAGCCCCCTCGTCTATTTACGCAGCAGTGGCAGCAGGCCTGACCCGATGTGGGTCGGATTATCATGCAGCTAAAGAATAAGCAGATAAGCACGAGCTGTTGGACAGGAACCGCTCTGTCACCGGAAGAGACGCGTGCGTAAAAGTTAGGTTGCGCGTAAAAGTGACCAGGAGGAAAGTCGCCAGAAACACTGTGGGTTTATTGAAGGCTACACATAAACACAATGTACCGAATGTAATACTAAATAAATACCCATGCATACGTTCCACTGGCGACAGATTGGTTCATGAGAGGAAATGATGCGTGCGTAAAAGTTTGGTTGCACGTAAAGGTGATTCCACAGAAAGTTGTTAATTTACAGCTACGCGAAAAGTTATTCCACTAAATATAACATTTAACATGACAAATACACACGAACTACTGGGGTAAAAGTATTCCATGAGAGGAAATGATGCGTTCGTAAAAGATTCTCCACGATTGGAAAATGGCAGAAAGTTGCAGAAAGCATTTGGTGGATTTATGCACCGAATGCAAAACAAAAAGTTGACAAGTTGTCGTGCAGAGTTCAGCCCGTGTGGCCCCTGAACTCCCCAGAGTAAATAAATAAAAATCGAGCAGGGACTTTCTGGACAGCTGATGTCCACGTGGTCCGCAGTGGAGATTGCGCAGCACGCACAGCGTTCTGGCACGCGCTGTTCATTTGCATTTGTATGGAGGACCGTGATAATAGAGGGCTTCTGTGCGCACAATAGAGGCCGTTTTATGGCCAGCCTCGAGTCCACAGATGGCATCATCCACCTGCCCTTTCTCCCTGCTGCTCGGGGAGGAGGGGGTTTGTGTGCGTGTGTGTGTGTGTGTGTGTGTGTGTGTGT